CGGACTTGAAGGGGGTTTAATTCCCCCTTCCCTGTCCCACCAGCATGGACTCGAGTCGGGGTCTGCCGGGCACTCCTCCCTCGCTGCTGTAATGGCAGGGGTGGGGGCAGGGCATGGACAGACACCAGCTGGCAATGTTTTCTGAGGTGAAGGGGGCAGGGAGGGGGTTTATTCCTGCCCATGGGGGACTGCAGCTGGGGTCTGCCTGCCCTGACTGCTGCTGCCACTCACTCCCTATGTGGGGCAAGTGGCAGGATAAACCTCCTCCTGCCCCCTCTGCCAGATGGTGGAGGGAGGGGGGAATAACTCCCCTCCCTGCCCCCTCAGCTAATGGACCCTGCCGGCTGGTCTCTGGCTGCTGGAGTGGTGAGGGTGGTCTCTGGCTGCTGGAGTGGTGAGGGGGGAGTGACCGTGACGGGGGCTGTAGCCCCTGTCATGATTTCCTGGAGTGTGAGCCTCCTCCTGGTGGGGGAGGGGGGGCACTGTAAGCAGACGTGGGGGTGGGGCGGGGAAAGCTGCCGCAGACTGCGTGGGGCAGCGGCGGCACTGGAGGAGCCTTGGGAGGCTATGGCCTCCTCTGAGCCCTGGTGCTACTCACCATGCACTGCTTGCTGCAGCTCAGATGACCCACTCTGCCCCCCCGCCCCAGCTGGGAAGAAGCTTACTCTCCCCAGACACCATGATGGGGGCTTATGCTCGCATCAAAGACTCTACCCCCTAGCTGCTCCAGCAGCAGGGTAGGGGCATTGCCAGAGCCCAGCCAGCATGGCCCCTTAAGCAAGGGTACAGGGCGGGGGGTTATTCTCCCTCCCTCTGGCATCTGGCAGAGGGAGCGGGGGTGGGGGACCTAACCCGCTGCTTACCCCTTGCAGGGAGTGATCTACGGTGATGGCGTTTGGGGTGGGCAGACCCCAGCTATGGTCCCCCAGAGGCTGAGGGGATGGAGGGGGGAATAATGTCCCTCCCTGCCCCCTCTGCCTCAGGGTGCCATACCAGCCAGTGTCTGGTGGGCACCCAGCCTCCACTCCCACGCCTGCAGCAGTGAGTGGGGAGCGCCAGGTGAACTCTGGCTCAGATCCATGGGACAGAGAGGGGAGAATTAAACCCTGGCCAGTTCTCTCCAGGCTACTGCTGGGGCTAGTCACAGCCCCAGTGCTAGGGCAGCCAGTGGAGAAATGCAGGTCTGTGTTGGTGGGACAGGGGAGGCTGGCGGGGGCAGGGGTAAACCTCTTCCCTGCTCCCTTCCGGGGCCAGCATCTGGCCAGGCCCCCACCCCTGCCTGTCCCTGCTCTGGCTAGAGAGCAGAGGGGCACTGCCAGCCCTGCTCAGCTGAAGCAGAGATCACAGCCCAGAGAGCATGCTGGGGGACTCTGTTTAACTAAAACCAGGAAGAGGTCTGGGACAGAAATCCCATAAACCAGTTTGAGCTCAATCAGTTAAGCCTGGTATTACATTCAACCAGGTTTATCTCAAACTGGTTTTGGCCATTTTGAAACTGGCTTATCTGCACTGAACTTATGTTCTGTTACAGGTGTAAACCAGCTTATGATTACTTAAACCAGTTTATGTGTAACTTTTGTCCCTAGCCTAACTGGTCATACCACGCACCAGTGCCACTTAGCCCACCAGAAGGGCTGCTTCTGGCTTAGGAGGTAGCCCTCTTGAAGCAACACAGTATGTTTCCATGTGCCATACTGGGAATGGAACACACTATATAGACAAGGCCACAATCCATTCTGATAGGATAATAACAGTTCAACCCTGTTTTACAGATGAAGAAACAGGTGAAGAAACTGACAATGCCAATAGATGTAGCTAATGAAAGTGTCTGAATTACACTTTCATACACTGAGACACATCATATTGTACTTCCTAATAAACACGTAGGGAAAGAGGTGTTAAATTAGAGAGGTTAAGTGACTTCTCCAAAGTCAAATAGCAAGTGGTTTTCTCTCTCACTCTACACTTTCCAAGCCTACTGTAGTTAAGCATATGTACCTTACTGACTGTGCTCACAATAACTTTCAGTCTCTAAACTACAACCAGTTTTATTGCTGGCCAATTCCATAAAAAGTAGTTATGTTTAGATCAAAGCACCGTTGCTTAAATAAATGAACATATTGATGATGATTCAACACATTTGAAATCATGTTTATAAATTCAGTTTTTCAGTAAATATGGTTTTTTCCTCCTACCACAGGCTTTAAAGATAGACTTTGGCAATGAATAAATTAAAAAGAAATACTTTCATTGGGCCATATGCAAAAAACTAAAGTCTCTAGTGATGTAGTAATTTAACAGGTATAATGATTTTCCTTCTCTCTCTTTATGAACTATAAAAATCCTTCCAAAGTTATTTGCATTTTGAATTTTAAATATAGAAGTTGAGCCATAAAAATCATGGACATTAATTGCTTTCTTTTTCTTCTTGACTTCTGTGTATATTTATATTTGAAGGCACTTGGTTAACAGAAAATCATAGGCAAAGCAGAAGATAAGCATTATACTTACTAACTACATTAGCTTGCCCAGTGAAGATGGTGTACTGAAGCTCATACGAGACCACACTGAACTCATCATCCGATGTCCAGTGGACTGTGATTGTGTCATAAGAAGCTGTACAGAGCTCTTCCCTAATGGTTGGAGGGTTTGGAGCTGTGAAAAATAAAGAAGTGTTAGTGGAGGGAGCTGACTGACACAGTAGGTAAAATACCTTCCCTGTTACCATTGAGACTATAGTGCTAATTCTAGAAAGGACCTTACAACTGTATTGTGCCATTTTTGGACAGAAGTTTTTGCTTATTCATTGGTGACATGCTAAAAACTGCTACCATACATGGGGCCAAATCCTCTTACATCAAAGTAACTTTAGGGTGCTTTGCCTCAGTGTGATCAGTGGTACTGAGAACATTATTTTTGGGTAACTATCTCTGCTTATGTGAGATGCTGAGTTGCTATGCAGACTTCTTACTCTTTCACTCAGAGTCAAAGCTGTGGCATTTTCTTACTATAACTAGGTCTTAGTGCCAGACGAACTGAGTGGATAGGCTGGCACGGGGCCCAATTAACTTTAATGCCTATGTAATTTCCTTGGTAGTGAAACCCTACATTGTAGACATAGGGGACAAGGATTATCTTTTTTCCTGAGCACATTATAGTATATATCCCAGTGGGGCCCTAATCCTTAATTAGTGCTCCAAAGTTATCATACCACAAATAATAAATACAAAGAATAATAGTACTATTCCTCTGGGCTACAGAATGGGTCACTGAAAGAAGTAGAGGAAGTTCCTTCTAAAATGACCCAATCATCTGAATTCAAAGTACAGGAAGAAGCAAGAATTTTCATGCTTTTGCTGTCAGTTCTCAGATCTTCACAAGCATATATTTTTACTTTAAGAAATCAATGTAAAGAAGATTATTATTTCTCTTGCAAAACCTTTTCTGTAAAATGTTAGTTTTATTTTTTTGCATTAAATATTGTTATATTTTATCCTTCATTGTTATGTTTATATTCAAGTATCAAAGATTCCAGCATTTTTCATTTATGTGAAAAGTGAACTGGGAGGCACATGGCAATGTTCGAAAATGTTTCGTGTTATGACCATGATTTATGTTGCTTTACATATTGTAGCTGATCAGTGCATATTTTTTCAAACTGAGGCCCTTAGGACATATGGATATTAACAAAAAGGGATGAAAATAAAAAGAAAAGAACATTTATGGGGGAAGGGGAATATAAACACAGAACAAAGAAAAAGGGAACCATCTTCCGAAAAGGACAGCAGTGTAGTTTAGGAAGTGTGTACTAGCAGATTTATAAAGGGTGAGTCACATATTAAAGTGTTGCTACCACAAGCTCAAATATTAAAGATTGTCGTCTTCAATTTTTAGAGGTATCAAAAACGATTTTTATGCTATAGTATCTTGGCTTATGCCTTGCTTTTCCTTCTCTTTAGAAAAGGTATATCTTTTCTGTCCTCCTGTTTATAAAAATGTCATTAACAAGGAATTAACTGATCTATTTATCTTTGACCTCTAATTTTTTGTGGGATCCATTTTGGGTCAGATGCAGGCATTCAGTTGGGATCTTGTATCTTTATTTCACTTATAGGCCTAACAGAACAGAATCCTGATCCTGGTAGAGGCCCATAAACAGTGTCTTTGGACAAATAGTAAATAAAAATTTAGGCTGCAAGGGTCAGCAACCTACAGCCCTTGGAAGACTAAGGTTCTTGTACTTGGAGGGTAAAAAGCTCTGGGTAAATATTTTGTGGGTGAATTTCAAGATGAATTGAGTGGCTAGCTCCCTTCAGTAACTTTCAAAATACCAATCTACATTTTCTGCTTTTGGGTGTGAATTCCATTAAAGTCAGAAGAATATAGATATTACACTGCTCTGGGATCACAGAATGATTTAACATAAAGCAGGAAGTCTTACTCTTTTCCCTTATTATTTACTTAGCCTTGCCTCAAAGTAGATTATATGTGAGCACTTTCCTAAACACCTTTAATTTTCTAAAATAATAGATATGCAACACTGAAGATGTGCAAGGAACACTATTAAAACTGTTTTTTATATCTTTTAGAGTAGCATTAAAGTAATGTTTTAGTGTTTTTGTCCAGGAAATAAGTGAGAAGCAAGGAGTTTTGTGGATGACATTTTATTGGACCAACTGCATAGTTGGGACAGATGTAAACAACTTATTGAATGCAGTCACTTGAAGAAGAATGCACTGCATTCAAAAGCTTGTCTAGGTCTATCCCAACTATCCAGTTGGTCCAATAAAAGAATAAATAGAAAAGATATGATCCACAAAAATCTTTGCCTCTTGCATACATCTGTTAAAGTAATTTAAAACTCTGAAAGCAAAATTCAGCATTAGATTTCTAAGCGCACATAGAAGAATGGTGGAGATTTATCCTTATAAATTATCTTAATCATAATTTATTTGCATTATCATAGTGCAAAGGAGCCTTACTCAGAGACTAGGATAACCGTGTGCTTTGTGACATCAGAGAGGGAACAGAAGACGTGCCCTATGGAGCTTACATTCTACATATATGATCAGGCTGCTTGGAGGTGGGATTTGAACTTTTGATAATGAATAAAAGATGACAGATGGGATGGCAATGGACTATGAGGGGTTTTCAAAGTGGAGACAGTTCAATACAATAGAACGGGGGGTGCAGTAGAGAGATGCATAGAGATTAGTGACAGGGTCAGAGTAATAGGCTTCATAAGCTATCTTTGCAGCAGCACCATGGATGATATCAGAAGGGAAAGACTGCATTTGTCAAAGTCAGAGAAAAGGAAGTTGTACTATATGAGGCATAAAATAATGAGAATTGGGCCAACAGTTTTAGCTGCATGCATAGGAAAGAAAAGAAGAAAGAATTTGCAAGACTGGGATTTGCCCAGCCAAAACTTTTACAGAAAGGTCCGAATTAAAGATGGTATCTAGTATGGACTTGAGTAGCAGGCAGGATGAAAATGAGATCCACAGAGGCTGGGGAAGTAGGTATTAAAGGCTGGCTTGTCTGGGTAAGATTAAAAACTCTGCTTTAGTCAAACTGGGACGTGCTGTATCAGTCATCCAGCAGGAAATGTCCAAAAAACTGGGCATAGATGTAGGTTGCCTTAACTTCTCATTTCCTTGATTTAGCTTTTGTGTTAAAACTCTTCTATATATAGCAATAATTATAAACTGTGAATGATACCCTCGAGTGCCATGAAATCCTTCTAAGCATGCCACAGGTTGATAGGAGGAAAACGATTGTTCCTTCTCCCCACACATGCCAGGCCCATTTATGAAATGATAAGTGCTTAGTTGCTCATTCCAGCTCTTATGTAAGGAGGTAAGCGCTATAATAAACAATTTCATTTTTGAGACAGGCTGCTGCTCAGAAGAGTTATCAAGGTGTCTTGGAGCCAAAAAAGGTTGAGAACCACTGGTATGGATACATAGATACATAGACTGAATAAGGGCTGGAAGGGACCTTGTAGATCATCAGGTCCAGTCCCCCTGCACTAAGCAGGAAAAGACAACTGCCCAGTCTCCTTTTGAAGATTTCCAGGGTAGGTGACTGCACCACCACTGGAGGGAGCTTATTCTATAGTCTGGACACCCTGACTGAAGGAATTTTTCCTGGAATTGAGCCTGACGCAGCCTTCCAGAAGCTTATCCATTGCTCTTGGTCTTCCCTAGGGGTGCCCTGGAACCACCAAAACTGATGTACACCATTGAATTATGCATTTATTTACCTTAGCATGTGTTAAGCCCTGATCAAATCACCTAAATAAAGATTGTAGAACCAAGCCATTATATTAGGACAAAGTAAATTGCACATTTAACAACCCTGAACACTTCAAGCTTTTCCAAGTCTTTTACTAGTGAAACATTCTGTTTGGGTTGATACCAGGAAACTTCACTCATAACTGATTCCCAAAGGCTAGTGGTTTGAATTGCATCTGGCTGTGATATGGGAGTCCTTCAATATTGTAAAGTACTTTGAATATAAATCAGTTCATAATGTCATTCATAACACGAATTATGACCCGTAGAGTTAGAATTTGGTGTCTGTTTCTACATTGGTCCAGGTATTATGTGCCCATCCTTCACAAAACTCAGATTATATTCCCCTTCATGTTCATTTAACTATGCTGGCCAACCCATAGTTGGGGCACAGTCAAAGCTCTACCCATTTCACTATTGTCTAACCATTACCTGTAGAGGCTGCTCCCGCTCTTCGTGCTGCCATCTGAGACAGGCATAAACCATAAAGGGGACTACTGGATAGCCTAGGAGGAAATGCAAAGTGCACAACTCTATCCGTAGCATTTTACAAGTGAATTAAATGTTTCCAAAATACCTGTAAGATAATCAAGGCATTCCAGCAACTTCTTCTCCCTGGTGAAGTCAAGCGCAAAGGTATCAAAAGTATCGTTGAGATTAATTTCTGGGATTAGAACCTGGGAGGATGCGGTAGCCATGGAAACCCTATAATGAAAAAAAAATCCTTTACTACAAGAATGCAGTAGCTTTCACATTTCTTGTCTAATAAACATTACAATTCCATAACCATTATGAGCTGCTCAAGTAGTCCAAGTAATATTTTACAACCATTTTAAACACACTAATAAATTAGGGCCCTGTCCTATAGTCCCTAGTCTTATAAACAAAATCTGCAGGATGAGACTCTTACCTAATTGCCTCCCCTATGCCATGTTAAACTACTTTACAGTCTTAACTAAACAATTATTAAACTTATGTTTAAAAAACAAAATATTTCTTCTTTTCTTTTCTCCTATTGAACTACTCTTTAGTAGTATTTTTATTTGCTGTTGCTGTTGCTGTTTTTTGAACAAACCTGACAGATGCTGTATCTTTCTCAACTGCAGCCTTGATAAATAGTTTTTTGCTCCATGCATTCTCTTATACTTCTGTCTCAAAAACTGTGTTTTCACTAGAAACCATCACCCTCTCCAGTGGTTAGCAAAATCGCACTAATTTTAACTCCATAAAGTACAGCACAAAGACAAGGCAAATATGTCAGGATAGCTTATTATGAAAGGTTTTTACTGTACAGCACACATGCATAATAATGTTCCTTTCAAAGCTGAAATTCATTCTTGTCTAGTTCATGTCAAAAACTGTAATTTTTTTCCCCCCAGCAAACATCATACATCTATAGATGAAGGGTTTTGAGTTTGCCTCTCCTTCCTCCCGCCTCAGCCCCTGCCTCCAAGAAAATTCGGTCCAAGATGGATGTTTCATTTAGAACTTATCAGCTCAGTACCTCAAAGCGTGTCAATGGTACTAGGAGTGTAAGTGGATTGCTATGTTTACAGAGATTCAGAAGAGAATTTGTATCTACTTAAACCAAGAGATTTAGCTTTCTGCTATACATCGGGGATTATTTAACTGCCTCCATTTGAAAAAAGATACAGTTTTCAATAAACTGCACTTGTCTGTCATTCATGACACATGACAGATGAAAGTAGTTTGAGTGCTCCAAAGAGTACTGTTCCCAAAACAATTTTTTTTGCTCTAGACTTAGCTTCTGAAACCCTATTGCTTTTATTCCTGAGAATTGAATTTTCCTGAATCTCTTTCTTGCCTTACTTCACATGATTTTTTTAAAAGTGCAATAGGAGTGGATTAAATCAGGACTGTCCAATTTTCTGAGTGGCTGGGGGTTGCAGAAGAAGCTGGAGCAGAGGGAGAAGTGGGAGAGGAGCAGCACCTGGCCTGTGAGCCTGGAGGTCGTAGGGCAACCATGCACAGGCTTCATGGAGCCAGCAGGCCACTAGCTGGACTGACCTGGATTAAATCTGTTTCAGCACCCATCTTGCCAAACCTGAGCATGGCCTCTTTTGGGAAAACTAAACAATTTTCAGCATTGGTTCTGTTGTGGACACGGCTGTTTCCCAAGCAATTATGCTAGTGTGAATGACATATAAGAACTTCAATTGTAAGTGTCCCTCACACTGGCTATACAGTGGGAAGATCCTTGTAGTTTTCACTAGCAGGACATTTGTAGTGTGGCCTTAAACTCTCTGCTTCTAATGGAAAAGTCACATGCATTTCCTCTGGATCCTACTCTGGCTGAAATCAATGGAAGCAATGGAAGCCTTATACTGATGTTGCTCGGAAGGACAGAAGCAGGTATCTAAGCAGACCAGCTTCTGAGGGTACCTCACCATGACCTGCACTTTATGAAAAGGGTCTTTGTAATAGTCCTGCCTGACATGACATTTAGGGCCTGGTGTATCCAGGCTTTGCTGAACCCCAGGAGTGAAAACTGTCTGTGTATAGGCTACTAGCGGATATGATAAGGGAGAGGGGGTATGACATGACAGTGTAGTCACTGATTGTTGGGGCACTTGGAGTAAGGGGCCTAAGCTATGAGAGCATCCCAAGAGTCTGCAGAGTATCCTGCCACTACTTGAAGCTGATGAAGCACCTCATGGTATCCAAAACCATAAAATTGTCAAAGGACATCTACATTAAGCATATTACAAGCCATCACCAGTATGAAGAGAGCCATTTGAAATCACCTGCTCTAAGTGAGAGTTGGGGGACTGACTGAATACCACCCCCCACCCCAGCATAGACCTGCGAAGACTGCTGAGGCCTTTGAATACTCCCCACCCCACACTGCATGCTAAAACTGGTGATTTGGAAATCCTTACAATCTTACAAAATTTGTACCAACGTGGTTACCTCATGTAGGGTCCTATATTTCTTTTTTACATAGCATAGTGTTGAAAGTTTCTAACCAGTTTACCTGAGGTTGCAGGTAAGCTGAATGACTAGCTGCATCAATGTATACCAATTATGTGCCTATGTAGCTACAATACATGGGGTCCTGTGTTGTCTTCCAACTCTATCAAGTTGTGTAATTACTATCATTTTAATCTTTTCTTAATACGTATGATAGGGTCCATTTTCGGTTGATTTGGTGACCCACAGCTGAAGCCCTAATAGCAGGGAGGATCTATGCTGTGGGCCCTACTTGCAGAGGTACATTTCATTTCCCCCAGTCCTCCTTCCTATGCTTCAGCCTTATTTTACTAAGGCTTTATGAAGAGAAAATGAATTTTAGTCATAGTGAATAACTCATTAAGAGCTCCTGTGCAATACAGTCTTTACTATGCGTGATTACCCATTGTGTTTCTGACAGAAAATTTTAGGCTGCAATTATTTTGAAATGTGTCCTGGAAGAATTACAATGAATATAATTTCAAAAAATTGGTTTAGTTGCTGGAGCTCAAGGCCCTGTAAAGTTTCTATATATACCCTACAAGCAAAGAAAGGGCTTCTCATCACATGAGAATTTAACTTATTCACCACAAAGTTTTCTTCTGTATCAAACAAATATACCTTCTTTTTCCATTTATAGTATGCCTGTGAGCACCTTAGGAATTTTCTCAAATGTATTTACTAGCTGAAATCATTCATTCATTTGGAGGTTATTTATCTAACTACAACTACCAAACTATGATATGCAAAAAGTGATTGGATTCATAGGTCAATTGGTGTCATTTCTCTTCTGTGACTGGATGAATACATCTCTTGCAATTGGGTTTATGATGCAAATATGAAAGTTGACAAGTTTAAAGGAGACTTTCTGTGAATATTCCCTGACACACATTTAAAATGTATCAGATCTGCACACATTGTTGTTCAAGCATATTCATAAAAGCTGATATTTTATTACCTTGGTCATGTTGAATTGTACCTTGGTATGTAAATAGTCCCATTAACTTCAATTGGACCACAAGTGTGTCAGAATCTAGTCCAGAAAGAGAGTATTGAAGGGGGGTCTAACCCTGCAAAATCAAATTTAGGCTCCAAATTTGCAGGGTCTAATGAGCATGCTTAGTTTTACTACTGGTGTCAAGGGGACTAATTCACAGTGAAGAAATTAAAACACGCTTTAGTCTTTTCAGGGTTAGATTTATTTTGTATTCCAAAGAACAGTGACAGTCTAATGCTTCTGGTTTGTATTAGAGATTAGGTGGAGGAACATGATGTTCTGGGATTTTACGAATCTGCAAAGGGAGTGTCATGGAGGAAGGGCAAGTTGAAGAATAAAAGAGATAAAACCAGGGAGCCTTACGCTGGGCTGAATTAAATGAAGATCTAAAGTGAACATGTAGACAACAAAAGAACATTTGGGCAAAGATAGAGGCAGGACTGCCCACTTTTTCTAACATACTTTTTACTCATCATTGTCATAGATACAAATACACTTGTTTATGTATTTTTAAATTAGTTCTAGGTTGGTTAGAAAATTTCCAGCAACATTTTTATTGGAACCGTATTCCATGGAAATCAAAATATTCCATGGGAACTGTTGGTTTTTACAAAACTGACACAGAAACAAGGCAGGGTGACTTCAAACATCTCAGTAAGACCTCTTAAGCTCACATCTTGACAGCCCAGGCTGTCTCCTTGCTAAGCCTTGCTCCTTATTAAGATACCTGGCATGCTGATAAACTAGAAAATACGAGAACCCTGGCTTCTATGCACACAACTCCTCAGTAGCTCAGGGAACCAGGGCTCGTAGAGCCCCAACTCCAGGGCAATCTCTAGTAGGCTGCTCCAGAACTGGAGCTCCCACCCTCCTTGGGTGGTGTGGTCCCTTGTCTGTGAGGCTATGCGGTGAGGCCAAGCAACGTGGGGAGCCTCAGAAACATTCCAGAATTCCATTTCTACAGGAAATTTCATTTTTCATGCTATTTTCAATTTTTCCATGAAGCAGGAATTACAGTTTCCAAATACCTCTAATTATCACTGTATTTATTACTGGACTAATTAGAACCTACTGGTTTTCATGTACAAATACACAACACCATTCATCTGTGGATGATGAAGCTGTTGTAATACCTAGAGCAATAGGCCTTTCTTTTTTAAATAGTTGTTTGATTTCATAACATAGAAAGGCCCTGACCATTTCAAAGCAACGCAAATTATTGTTAGTTTGGGATTTTTATGGATTCCCCCAGAGAAACACTTGAAGACCACCAGCCTTGTTTGGTTTCTCAGAGTACTCCCTAAATCCAGCTTAGTTATGGCTTCTGGAGGACTAACTCCTGACCTTCCCTAGCTCTCCATGACCCTGCCTCAGAAAACTACCTTTCAGTTCTCCTCCAAAGGTTGTGTACCAAGGCCACGTGAAGCATCAGTATGACTAGCTACTCAATTCCTTTGATGCTGGAGGTAGTTCTGATCTGTCCCGCAAGTGGGTAGTTTTAGACTTTAGCAAGGACTCTATTAACCATTCTTTCCTCATGTACAGGCAGCGAAACTAGAGCATTATTATTATAACATGAATACATTTAAAATAGAAATATTACAATAAAAACCACAGCCTGTCACAGGCTTAAAGCAATTTGTTTCCCTTTCTTAGTCTATGAAAGCATTTACACTGGACTAAGAAAAGCAAGAGGCCAAACATAACTAATCAGCCACACTAATTTATGCTCTTGCACCTTTCAGAAGGAAATTCCCCCGCAGCTTATGCTTTACCTTTCAGTAATGTTTTTAGCAGTCTGCAGGAAGCGAGCATGATCATTCTCCTTTAGCGACTGCTCAGCCTGAGAGATGAGAGATGTAGAGCGTTCAATACACTGTTTACAGTTTGCAATCTGCTGGGCCAGTTTTCTCAACCTTACCACCTTGAAGAAAACATAAGAAAACAGTCATATCTACGTGCTCACAAATGACATTAGCTTTTACCCATTGCTTTTAGTTTAACCTATAGCTACATTGCAAATACGGTGCTAAGATGAATAGTTTAGCTGACAAGACAGACATTGCCTTGTTAACCAAGTAAAGGCCATGTAACATTTCAAAAGAGGAAAGACTTGTTCATTCTACCTCAACATTTGCCATACAGAAAACACCAGGGGAAAGCCAAAACAAGCACAGCTGGCCTATTTTCCTTCAGATGAAACGTCATTTCCTGGCGCTTTCTGCTTACATGATAACTAAAGGCTATTTTGATAACCATTTCCCTGAAGTAATGAAAATTGTGTTAAAAGCAGCTTACAAGGTTAGGATCTTATTCCTGAGTTGATTTACATAAAAAATGACCAGAAAACAAACCTCAGCTAAAAGTACGCTCCACTTTTACTGACAGTAAAATGACACTCTTCACTTTTACTGGCAATGTCCATTCACCCTTTTCATGCTTTGCTGTTGCTGTCCCATGGAAAGAATTTACCGAGATAAAAGCAAAGTTAAAAATCAAGAACTGATCTGTGATTCTAGTGCACAGAGGAAAAGTCTGTATCCTGGAGACAGGCAGTTAGGAAATCCACATGGCATGACGCTGTAGTGGGAGAGGAATGTTAGAGAGGGGACCGATCAATCTGCCTTTTCGGGTGAATGTTGGCTCCTGAGCCCTCTTGATTCCTGAGAGCTCTGAGAGTTCTTCCTGTTGCTATAACATCGTCATCATCACCACCACTCCCACCATATATTTCTAGCATGAGAGGGTTCAAACAAAAGAAAAACTTTGGGCCCCAGAGGGCCATTAAGCTATATAAATATCAGGAAATGAGTAGATGGATCAATACTTAATAAATTATTAAAATATAACAAAAACATTGAGGTTGCTATTAATTAATCACTAAACATTGTGGTTTCTGGCTTAATTCCAGATATAAACCTGATGAGAGTAAAGCATCTTGAATAAAGTTGAGAGTCCACATGCGGCCATTTTAGGACAATGGAATACAACAACAAACATAAAATATTGCCTTAAGGAAACTTTAAAACAGTCAAGTCCAAAATCCTTTAGTATTGATGTTTTCCAATTACACAAATAATAAAAAGAGAAAAATGGCTCGTTTCTATTGTGATTCATGTCACTGGATATTTACTCTGCTTGCTTGTCCAAATATTCAAATGAAACACACATTTGTTAGCAGGTCCTCAAAGAAAAAATAATCTCAGAATAGATTTTTAGTATACTTTGTTATTGGTATAACTTATCAGCATCCTTTCCTGCAAAATATTAAGAGCTAGACTCTGTAGCCATTTATGACGGTACTTATGATGGTGAACAATTTGTAATAGTAGTAGTCCCACTGAAGCCAGTGGGCTAACAATATAATGGGATCATACTGTGACCCTAGTTCTCTCAAGGATGCACTGTAAACTGGAAATAGCTAAGAAGCAAAGTGTTTGTTTAAATAGTCCACATATACTTGAGATAGAGATTATAGATGTTATGACTGTTTCATGGACAGCAAAACATATTCTCTGAGTTCATTCAAGATGAGACACAACTGCAGCATATAACATCACAGACAGTAAGGCTAGGGACAGACATTTCACATAAACCATTTTAAGTGATCAGAAACTGGGTTAAACCTGTAATAGAACAGATGTTCAATGCACATAAACCAGTTTGAGAATGGCTGGAACCGGTTTGAAATAAACCTGGTTGAATGTAGTATCAGACTTAACTGATTTGGCTCAAACCAGTTTATGCAATATCTGTCCCAGACCCTTCGCTGGTTTTAAGTTAAATCAGACACTCCTAGCGTCCTGGCATGCACTGTGGTCTGGGTGGGGTTCTCTGCTCCACAGCAGGGCTGGCCCCTCCTGTCTGCTTCCTGGCTGCAGATTTGGCAGAGACTTGCAGGCACAGCAGTGTCTGCTTGCTCTCTCCCTCCCCTCCTCACTCTCTGCAAATCAGGTATTCCCCCATCCCTCACAGACACTACTCAGCATTAGCTAGCAGATCACATGCTGGCTACCTCTGAGCTATGGCACACGGAACAAAGGTAGTATCAAGAGGTAGCTGGTAATGTCCCTCTGTTGTTTTCTTAATGAGGTGATAAACACTAAGTTAGGGATGATAAACATGCCCTTCTGGTCTGTTTAGGAGGGGAGGGAGGGGAACTCCTTAATCACAGCATCCTGTCAGGGCCTGGCCATGTCCCCCTCAGTTCAGTGTTATGAAAGGGGAGGGAGGGCTGGTCTAGCATCCCCTGGCTTCTAGTCTGGGCCACTGCAGGCATGTGCCTGCATTTCTGGCACGTCTGTCTGGTTACAAAACTGATTTAGCCTTGCCAGGTTAGACTAACCTGGAAAGATTGAATCAATTCAGGCTCAGCCTTTTTGAATGTCTGTCCCTGAAACCTGAAAGGCTGAACATAGTTACATGATAAGCTTAGCCACCAGAGGAGACTTTCATGGAGCACAGGCCTATCTAGACTAGGTCTTCTTTAAATAAACAACAGAAGATTAATCTGGAAAGAAATAACTTCCCTTCCCCTACTGCACGACTGACCACTACATACAATCCATTTAATCCATTTGATAGTATTAGAAATAAAATATGTTAAGGGTTGAGCTGCAGCATAGTGACAGGTCCATCTCAGGGAGAATAGCTGTATCACAACATCTGACTCTGACCTCTGGTATGCTGGTATATATCTGGAATGACTCAGTTTGATTCCATGGGATTAATACAAATTTTCACTGGGGTATTTGACCCCAGAGTCTAGCCCAGTGAGATCTTTTAAAGATTTAGTCCATATGTTGAGCATACTTTATGAACAGAAAGTTTCATATTAACTTTAATAAAAGCAAGGTTGTTCCCATTGTACAGAAATATAGCCAAGAAGGTTCCACAAAAGACTGTCTTCTCATCTTGAAATGAGCTGTGTTTGGTTAACAAAATGAAGTTCAGCTTTTGTCAAATAACAAATGGAAATTGTAGTCTTCAAATATGTTTAAATCATCCCTTTGCCTAAAGCTTTTTTATTTCAAGTTAATTGGAATATCTTGACAGCTAAGTGAACCATTTAATCTGCCCTTGACTTTATTTTTTTTTGGAGTTTTTCCCACACAAGAAGAGTTTATGTTTGACTCTTCAGCTACCTTGGCAATTAGAAATAAATAGTATGTACTGAAAAGAACAAGAATAATGAAATAAAAGTAAAGTACCTCTGGATTTATCAAGTGCCTAGATCACCAGTTTTAAAGTGTGCCTCTAAAACAGAGGTGGGCAATTATTTGGGCTTATGGGACACTTAATGAGTTTTGGTGGGCTGTCCAGACACCTCTCTCTCCCTCTCCCCTTCCTTCCCTCCCAGAACTGCGACCACTGCAGAAGCCTGAACCCTTCTGCAGTTTTAGCATGACGCACTCTCTCCCTCCCCCACAACTGGGGACCATCTGCCCACAGTTTAGCACCCCCCACACCTGCCTTGAGTCTGGACCTAGCAGGTGCTGGCCACATCCACAGCTGCCCAAATGCAGCTGGCAGCTTCTGGGTTGGGACTTTGGGTGTGGAAGGAAGGGTGGGGCAGCTGTATTTGGGCAGCTATAGACATGACTGGCTGCTGCCAGGTCCAGACTTGGGGGTGGGAGTATGCTATGGCAGCAGCCAGGTTCATGCTTCCATGAGAGAGTTAGTGCCTGGCATGCCTGAAGCAGCTCTGGCCACCTGGCATCATGTGGCTGCCAGAGCTGAAGCTGCCACCCGCCCATGGGTTGGATCTAGTCATTTGGTAGGCACCCATCTACAGGTCAGATCCAATCAATTGGCAGGCTGGATCCAGTCCATGGGTCACATTTTGCCCATCCCTACTCTAAATTTTGTCTTGTTTATTCAGTTTACACTAGTAACCACTGTATTGCAGTAGTTAACCAGTGGTATTCAACTTACATTCCTTTTATTTTTATGGGGCATATACACAGTATGATTACTACAAAGAACTTTACTCCAGATTTTACTGGAAGTTTAGTTTTAGTAAGGAGCTGACAAATGAGCAGCTGTCCCAAACTGGGCAACGTTCCCTCTAAGCTGCGCGATGTGCGTAGCTGCGCAGGCTCACCTGGCAGCACCACATGAGCATGCCTGGGTGGCCATGCACTCCACACAACTTAGAGGGAATGCTGAAACTGGTTGTTTGCCTTTCAATAGGTGCTACTATAGTATCTGGCCAATAGCTGAAGGGGGAGCTGATTTGTCTCAAACACACAACTATTCTATAGTAAAACTGGAGACACAAGGGCTTAGTACAGACATTCAAAAAGCCTGAGGCATAATTGATTTAACTTATGTGGCTTCAGTAAGTGACATTGTTTATATCAGTAGTGAACAGAACACACATTTGCCTTGTGGTGGGGGAGCAAATCTTAGATCAGGTTTTGCATTTTTAAACTAGTCCATGTGTGCTGAACTTCTGTTCTGTTACTGGTATAGACCAGTTTCCAATCACTTATACAGGTAAAAGTGTAATGTCTGTACCTGGCCAAGGTATAAAGTTCCTGTTCAACTTTCTCCAGTGTAAATTACTTCTGACCTCCTCAAAAGTAACCTTACACAGGAATACAGCACTTTCTCTAGAGTAAATGCTGTGCATCGTGGGTCCACTTTACTTTTCCCGCAAGGTAAATTGAGGATACTCCAAAGTACTGTCTGGCCACACCCTCAGATAACAAAAATCTCATGACATTTCCTGTAAAAAACAAGAAAATTCTTTGAAATGAATTCTTCACGTTGGGAGACTTGTCCTGTATAAATATGTAAAGAAAATAATTACATTTCATATTGAATAAAACTGTGCAGATAACTGGTGTCTAGGGACATTTATAGAGGTGCTCTGGGAGTCTGGTGGGGAACACTTTAATTAGACCGGCTTTGAGAGCTGCTCTAATTTCAAGTGCTGAGAGTGTCATGTGTATCAGCATTCCTATGCTGAAAAATGGCAGCAGGGGTGTTTTAACTAAAGCTCATTCAAGAAGTTTTAATTAAAGCACGCCCACTGCCATTTTTGAGCACAGGGATGCTAATATACCTGATGCTGGAGTCTACTGCATCACAGTAATTACCAAGTTCCGGCAGACTCTATTAATTGAGTCTGCTCCAACACACTGTAATTACAGCATGTCACAGCAGCCTCCCTGCATGTATATAGGTGCCTTAGGATAGTGGATCCATTGGTACAGTAAATTCTTGCTATGCTCAAATGCCTTCAGACCTCTGAAAATCTGAACAGAGCTTCTGTTAGCCCATTATTTTTTTTACAGTGAAATCAGTTCTGGGTTAAAAAAAATGACATACATAATATCACATCAAATAAAGACCTTAAAATCAAAATTGTGTAGAGCATGATTAATAGTAAGCAAGAAGCCACTTCAAATGATGATGGTTTATCCAATGAATGTTGACAGCAGGCAGTTGCTCTCTTCACCTAAAAGCAGTAGCTGCCAAGGAGTATGAATAGATTGTTGCCAGTATTTATTAACAGTACATTAGGTCAACAAATCATAGAAGTTACAGAGTATGAAGAAACACTGTTGACCCATGTTGTAACCTTTCCTGGTAGAATCCTTACCTTCCCTTCCTTGATTTTGGTTCCAATGATCTGACGTCTTTGCTGAATTATTTCAATGAGCTGGTCACATTCCTCCATTAGTTTTGTTTCTTGTCGTGATGCATTTACCTACAGAACAAGTTATCTCAGTTAGAAAAGTTCTGGCTGCCTTTTTTTTTTTTAATTTAAATTTTATTTTAAGCTCTTTGCATTTTTTTTTCAACTTGCTTTGTAAAATGTGTTTTGCTTCCATTCCCATTTCTGGACCTTGTGAAATAAAAATATTTAAACTGTCTGCTTGTGCCATTGTATGAAATGTTGCTGGAAAAAATGAAACTCATCAGGTGTTTTTAAGCCAAGTCAGATAAGGCCTGATCCTGCAGTGCTTTGAGTGACCTCAATTCCAGATAATATAAGTGAAAATTGCAGGTCTTTATTGCAGGTGTTTAGGACTTCACAGGATCAAGCTGAATGAAGACTTCAAATAAAGAGTATTAATAGAGCTTATTAATATATGCATGCACACAGGTCAATTACATCTGTTTGGCATTTCTTGCCATTGTCTCTCAGTAAGGAGAAGTATTAAGTGATTTTGTTTGAACACACACACACACGTATTAAATAAATAAGGGCTTGTCAAGAAATCTCTTCTTAAACTGTTTTTCACTGGAAAAATTGACAAAAAAGCATGAGCTTTCCATGGAAAATGTTGATGTAATGTCAAAAAAAAGAAATCCTTCAAACAAAAAAGGTGTTTGTTTTTCAGCCAAGAAGTTTTTAGCTTTTCAGTTGCTCAATGAAAAGTCAAAATTTCCATGGAGGACAAAAGAATAACTTTCCAACCAGTTCTGACATTAGCTATACATCCATAATATATACATACACACACACACAATACACACATATGTAGACATATGTATGTGTGTGTGAAAAGCAATAATCGTTGCTGCTGTATCACCCCTATAAGCTGGAAAGAAAAGGATACTATACTTATTACTGGAGAGAAACGCTAGCCATTCATCAAAATGTGTTTATTACAAATTTTTATAGAACCAGATACTTAAAGAGGAGGATAGTAGGCTGTTGTGATTGATCTTTTTGCTATTGTATATATAAACCACAGGAGAGTACAGTACAAACAAATATACTGACAGTTCCCTGCTAAGAGGAAATTACAGTCCAAGACCCCAATTCAGTAAGGCCCTTAGATTTGCATTTATCTTTAAGTACATTAGAAGTCCCTCAAACCCTTTAAATTAAGCTCCCATGCTTAATTGGATCTGGGCCAATTTTGCAAAAGTCCCTCTAATTGGAATGGCTTTTGTGTTCAGTCCAGTTTGTTTCCAAAAAGCTTGATTTCATTAACATGTAGCTAATTCCCCATACTCCCCTCAAAAAACTTCATAAAATTAAGGTTTAAGAACATATTCAATAGTCATAAACTATTAAAGAAGGAAATGGTCTCATAAAACATATATTTTTAATATTAAAATACCATTTGGTAGAGCTGTGCGAAACACCATTATTTCGTTTCAATGTCTGTTTCACCATTTTGAAGGGACAATGTTTTATTTCATTCTTTCATTTACTTTCAAAGCACTGCTCCATTTCATTTCATCAGAACTGTTTTGCTGTTTTGAAGTTTTGCCCATCGGCTATAATGGGGAATCATGAAAATGCCTAAAACTGTCATTTCTTGCCTGATTTGGATGAAAATTGCAGGGATGGTAGCCCCTTCAGAGGGCATGAAGCCTGCCAAGTTCCAAGGAGATAGTTGCAGAGGTTTCTGGGAAACTGGACCTCAAACTGTTCAAAGTAAAACACTTGCCGGCAGAGGCAGCCTCCTGTCATCCGGTGTGCAGATCCAGGGGCCCGCAAGGATGGAGACCAGCAACTGGCCTCATGTCCTCCCCGCATTGCTCCAGACCCAGCCGCACTCCCCCACCTCCTGCCACCACTCTAGGTCTTGCCCTGCTCTCCCTCCCTGCTGCTCTGGGTCTTGCCCTGCTCCCCCTGCCCTTCTGCTGTCTCTCTGGGTGGTGTCCCATTCCCTTTTCTGCTCTGTGTTCAGCCCTGCTCCACACCCCTCTCTGCTGCTCCGTGTTCAAGGGAACATCACGCCCAGCTGCGCAGGAGTGTGGTAGCACACAGTCACAGAGCTTGGTGTGGGGAGTGACCACAATGAGGGGAGAGCTCAATGTCTGTGTGGCAGGGGGAGCAGTCCTGGGGTGTGGCACATGGGTTCAGGGTGGGGTATGGCATGGGAAGTGGCCCTGGGGTGTGGCACAGGGCACATGGGGTGGCATGGTGCATGGCTGTGTGGAGGGGGGTCACGGCCATGGTGAGGGGAGCACCTGCCAGCTGTGGCTGCATAGTGTGAGGAGTGGCCCTGGGGTGTGGCACAGGGTTTGTTGGAGGATGTGGTGCACAGTGGGGGTGTCACATGGCCACAGGGAAGGCATGGGGAATGGCCATGGCACAGGGAGTTCCTGCCAGCTGTGGCCACACGGCACGGGGAGAAAGCCCAGAGTGTGGCGCAGAGCATTTGGGCAGCGTGGTACATGGCTGTGGCATGAGGAGTTACCATGGTGGTGGGAGCATCTGCCAGCTGTGGCTGTGTGATGTGGGTCACAGCCCCAGGGTGTGGTGGAGAGCATGGCGGGTGGTGCACAGCTGCAGGATGCTGTGCAGGGAGTGGGCAGGGGGGAAAGTCCTGCAGCCATGTGCTGCAGCCAGCAGGTACTGCCCTTGTCCACATACCCACTCCCCTTGGGGCTCCCTGTGGCTGCATGGCATGCCCCACTGTGGCTTGCAGCTGGCAGGCACTCCCTGTGAGGGGGTGGGGCATGCCACGAGAGGGTGGGGCATGGTGCATGGCTGCAGGATGCCAGGCAGGGAGCAGGACCGAGTGAGAGGGTGTGCCCTGCCCCATAGCCGCATGTTACAACCAGCAGACACTGCCCACACCCCCGATGCCCATTCCCTGTGTGGCACCTCACTCCCTTCTGCATGCTTTATGTGCTCCATAGCTGGAGCCACTGGGTGCTCCCAGTGCAGGGGGGGTGGGGCATGTGGGGGCATGGAATGTAGCCACAGGGTGGTGCATAGGGAGTGGGTGCATGAGGAGCACCCCAACCTGTGGCCATGTGCTGTAGCCAGCGGGCACTGCCCACGCCTCCCTGCCCGCTCACTGTGCAGCACCCTGTGGCCAAGCACCACACCCCCCTCACCAACTTCCCACACAGCACCCTGTGACCATGTGCCCACATACCATGCCTTCCCCCATGGTCTGCAGTTGGTGGGCACTCTCTGCATGGGGGCGGGGCGCGCAGCCACAGGGTGCCACATGGGAAGTGGGTAGGGGGGTGCACCCTGTGCCATGGCTGTGTGCTGCAGCCAGCGGGTGCTGTCTGCACTCCCCTGCCCGCTCCCGGCATGACACTTTGTGGCTGCACGCCTCCCTGTCTCCCCCTCACAGTCACAAGCCGAGCCACCTCACATGGGAGCACCCTGCATGGCCAGTCCACCTCGCCACACCCCACAGTAGGAAGCACAGCCTGGCTCCACTCGTCTCCGCCCCCACCTCCACCACTGCCTGTCTGTCTCTCTGTCAGTAAGGCTTCAGGCCACACACGTGCAGTTGGCCCAGAGCGTGATGGACAGAAAGACACACAGGCAGAAGTGCCATGGCTTTTATTATATTAGAATCATCAATCCTCCTGCTAATTACTATTTTATCCTGCATTCCTTCAGAACTGTTTTTGACCAACTATTCTACCCATGGCGTCCCCTAACCCTTTTGACTCCATGTTGACTACATGAATCGAAATTCCTTCTGAAAAAATGAGGAATTTCAAATTGGTGCAAATGAGGCAAAATTCAGGTTTGTGTAAATGGGTGCAATATTTTTATGCCAATAGAAAGAGTCCCATTTATAACAAGGCTGATTTTGGCCCATGGATTATTTTAACACTTATACAGGACGATTAGAGTCTCAGTGTTTTATTCTATCACCATTTATTGGACCAAATTAATCTTTAGTATAATCCCCTTGACATTTGTGGAGTTACTTGAGAATTACATTAACCCAACAATTGTTTATTTAATGTGAAGTTTGGTTTAAGATAAAAGAATGATGCATCCAGGAAAATATAAGTGCTAAGAAATCTTGGCGTATGAACAGTGAAATGCTTCCAAACTTTTTTTCTTTTGGATTTCTTGCTTGATGAATGCAGCCTTCTATTTTATTTGAAACTAGAGACATATATCCTATTTTAACTCATTTGAGTACATTTCCATTTATTAAATGTGGAAAATTCATTTCAAAATTATTTGACAGGATGTCTGAGCCCATTATTAAAAATCACTTCATTTTAGAGGCTTTTCTGATTATTCCACTCTGTGGAATATTGAAATACTCTTGGATTGTCATGCTTTTTAGGCTCAGATTTAACAAATGTTTCCTAATTAAGTAGATGCCTAACTTGAGGCCAGATAAATCCAGTACAGCCAAAGAAACTACCTGTGAGCAGAAAATCAGGTATTTGTGTTATGATAGCACCTATGAAGCTTAGTCATTGACAAAGACCCCTTTGCACTATATGCTGGACAAACACAGATCAGCAAGATGGCCCCTGCCTAGTATTTAAATTTGTTACTGAATTGGGGACTTAACTATAACTCATAACTAAGACTAGCTATAAAAGAAGACTTCAGTTTTGGACAAAAAATTAATTTTGTTCCCATGCTATAACAGAACAAAACCCCACCCTAATATGCCACAAAAGAGATGAGAGACAAAAGACACATCTTAGAAGAAACAAGGGATTAAGACATTAACTTGGGATGAGAGAGGTACATATCTGAACCCTAGAGCAGCCAGAACATGGACGTAAACCTGGGTCTCCTTCATGCTAGGTATGTCTATGAAGGATATTTTAGTGTTTTTCCTGCCAGCAGTCTCATGATGGAGCTGAGAAACCCTCCTGATGAAAGTTTCATCAAAATGGGCACATTTTTTTCATTTAAAATTGGTTTTGTGACATATTCTATTGCAAAAAGCATGGCCAACTTTCCCTTCAATCCAGCACCATATATAAATATATATATTTAAAAACATTGCCCTTTTA